CAATCATTAATGTCGACGTTTGATATTTTCTAGACGATTCGTTTTGCTATTAGGATATCCAGATGGTTTTCAGATATGGGACATAACGAACCTAGATGATGTTCACGAACTAACTTCAATTAGAGATGATGAAAATTTTGGAGAAGTCTCCTATTTAAAAGTAAGCAAGTTGATTGTCTTTACGATTATATCATATGATTACTGTAAATAACGCGTTCATCACCGTTAGGTAATACCAAATCCACGAAACATATCCAAAGATCCCAAAGATTCTTCATATGAAAATTCTTTTCCGCTTGTTGCTTTAATGTAAGCTTTGCTCTTCATATTAGGCATATTGTCCAGAATTCAAATTAATTTCAGCGCTCTCAACTTTGATTTCGTGATTCTTATTCAGATGCAAACAAGCTAAATCGATACCTCAAGAGAATAATGAATTTCCAGACGCGCTTGCTAGACCAAGAAGTGTATTGAAATTTGTTTCACTTAAATCACATGAGGTAGTGAAGGAGATGAGTTTTGAGAATGAGGGAACAGTGACGAGCATTAAATGTAATGAACGGGCAATAGTGGTGGTACGTTAAATTATGACTTATATATGTTACTTTGTATGAGTTATCCTTATTTAAAAACTTATTCTCACTTAAAAAGGCTCTTTCAAATCCTTCACGACTTCATGTTCTTAATACTTTGACGCTGGAAAATTTACTACCAACCCCATTGACTGACGTTGCATCACATCCTATCACGCGTGCACCTATTTTTTCGCTAGGACCACGATTGCTAGCATATGCAACCACGTCGCAGCCCTCAGAACGTAGTGGAAAAAGTGATGGGGATTATTTATTGGGTGAAGCGGATGAAAAGAATGGCGGAACTGGAAGATATCAAGAGGTTGCTAAGGATGTCGCAAAAGGTGTCGCAAAAGAAGTTGTGAACGGTGTCAAGTTGTTAGGTATTTATTCGCTCTTTTATACTGGTGTTATCGTAGACTTTTAGCATGACATTCAAGTACAATCAATATCATGATATTAAAATAAAAAAATAAAGGTGACTATGGATACCAAACCATTTCGGCCTATTTCTCGAATGGTTTTAATCCTCAAAATCCCTCAGCTAGCTCATCTTTTTCCACATCCAATCCAATAAACATAAAAAGTGGAGCGAATTCTCGAAGTCCATATACGCCCCAACATAGTCCAAATCATCATCTTTATTATAATCCAAAGGGTAGTGTTGGTAGTGCTAGCGGCGATACCAATGGCTTAAGCAATGGAATTGGAAATGTTGACGAAGTCATTGGAGCAGTAAGTTTACTTACAATCAAAATCATGAAAAATTGAACTACAACGTAGATCATAAACTAATATCGAATTATATTTAAAAAAGATAATGATTCGTGATATTGGAACTCAAAACACAAAACCTGGAACTCAAAAACTACCTCCGGTTGTTGCACATTTCCAGCCTCATACGCATCCTGTCGGATATCTTTCTTTCAATCCGTCAGGGACACTTCTATTTTCGACGTCTGTCCAAGGGCACAAGTTTCACATATTTGAGATTCTTGGTAAACGACGTCGAGGAGGTGGTCAAAAGACCATAAAACATATTTATCGATTGGCGCGAGGGCTTACAGATGCTAGTGTGGGTGAAGGATCTGTTGGCTGGAGCGTTGACTCTAGATGGTGTGCAGTAGCTAGTGGCCGTGGGACAATCCGTATCCTTTTTTACATTCTTTATTGAATTATATCATTGAAGCATAAATCACTTTATATAAATATATTCCTTGACCAAATTTGTTATTTAGATGTATTTGCTATCAATCCTTATGGTGGCCCAGCAGATGTTCCCTCGCATATAAAAGGATGTGTCATTAATTCTGAAGAACCGGTAATTACAGCGTATCTATGATAAATCAGTTATTTTATCCAATAGACTCATGCAATTCCTTTATTTAGTATGTGTCAAGCACTCAATCACCAGTTGTTAGAATCAAGCCACGAAATCCTCTTCCATTGGACCCAACTGATCCCGCAAATTTCCCTTCGCAATCATCAAATCAGTTATTTCCCAACCTATTCGCAAATGCTGCTAATGATTATTCCGTGTTTCAATTTGAATCGAATTCTTCCTCTGCTGCAGCAAGTCCAATGCGACGTCCAAGTTCATTACATCCCAATGGATCTTCTACGAGCTTATACATTCATAATCAACAAATCCCTTATAACGGGGCATTGATTACCACAAATAATAATATCCCCATATCAGGTTTGTTGCGTAAACCCCCCGGTATTTGCCTGAAATTTTTACCGTCTCTTTCGGTCGATCCGAAATCTGGGGCAAACTTTATTGGCAACCTACAAATCAATTCACAACGTAATGCCAAGCGGCGATCATCTCCCGCTACAAGTAATAGCATGACACCTAATAATCCATTATCGGGCCATTCGGCAAGACGTGAGCGACGAAGAACAAAATCATGGACACAAAATTCTAATCCCGCAACTGCTCTTAGTTATTCGAACTTTGAGGAAGAAGATGAAGATGGTAAATTCGATAATATAGGTTATCAGGATATACTAAGCTTTCATCCGACCGGTATTTTGACATTGCATCGAGTTTGGATGGAAGGAGTGTTGATTGGAGGTGATAACGAGTCATTTGGTAAAGAAGAAGGAATAACGGGAAGTGCTGCAGCTGTTGCAAATATGGGGCGAGTGTTAGTTGGTGGTGCTGCTGGTGTTGTTGGAATGGGTATGGAATTTGCTGGGGTGGGAAGAAAAGATGCAGTCAGACCAGGAGAACCTACACTAGGTTTACTAGTCGAATATGAAGATTTGCTTGAATGGAATTTATTCCGTGGACAAAATTGGGCTGAGGTTAAATCACCAAATCTATCTAAAGATCAGGAAATCACGGTGAAAAAAGATAATAGCAAAAAATGGCTAGCACATGCCGAAATAGCCACTCATACAACCTCACGGACATCTCTTCCCCCACCTTTATGGCTTTCCCATCAGTTCAGTTTCCACACATATATTATCGGCTCTAAAGAGTCGACGGAAAAAGGCATAGTCCCTGAGACCAAGAAACTAGAGATCAAACGAAAAATAATTATTGAAGAAGATGACGAGTGCAAGAATGGTTGGGTTAAGAATGGGAAAGTTGCGACTTTTGTTGAAGATGGACGAATTGTGAGAGGATTAGAGGATATTTCTGGTGATTATTTATTTAATATTATACCAATTCAAATTGTTATTATTTTTATTAATTTCATTAAATCCATAAATGATTTTCTTTAGAGCATATATCAAGTGCAATGAATACCGATCTCGAAGTAAAATCAAACGAGTTGCTGGGTAAGTCTTATTAATCCCATTTAAAGTAATTTCTATATCTCGTCTTCCATTTTTATCAATGGGAACGGTACTTTCGAAATCTATTGCTATATCCTCGGCTTGAGTAGAAACCATCATTCCCATACCACTCTCTTTTGAAAACGCATACCATGTTCCGGATGTTCCAACACTAGATATCACAACAACTGCTGCTTCATCACAACCACCACCATCGTCCACATCTATGATCCCCGATCTAATAACCCTAATCACACCACCTTCATCAGGACCTTCACCCTTTACGACTGCAACTACAACTACCAATATCAACAACAACACCGCCGCCCACGTATCCCAGCCATCTACAAGCAACAACCATGCACATTCCGATTCCACCGCTTCTTCACCTTTTGACCTTCAACCGACTTTCTCCCGTTCAAGTTCTTCATGTACGATTAGAACTACGACATCGACAACTGCATTCAGTGATTATATAGAATTTAACCGAAAAGACGTTGAAGATGATGTAGGCGACGATAGTAGTTTCATTTTTCCTCATGAGGCCGAGAATGTCCCGGCAATCGAGAATGACGGCAGCAGAGAACAACTGATCGATTCAAATGATAATGATGATAATGATAATATCATTAATGACAATGAAAATCATAACAACAATGATAATCATAACGACAACAATGATAATAAAAGCAATAACAACAACGATGACAATAATAAAAACAGCAATGAAGAAAACGAGGAGAACTCATCTCCATTGATTTTGTAATATAGATTTAATACAAGAATTGTAAAAATAAGAAGACGAAGGAACGGGTGAATCGAAAGGATGAGATTAAAACTTTTTCTTGGTTACGTTCAATGAGATCATCGTTAATGTATAAAACTCAAAGACTTTTTAATTGAACGTAGACTTTATTATTTTTTCTTTGAATATCCCCGTTACCTCTATTGAGAAAAAAATGATATACAGAACACGCATATATGATGTTGATTCTGTCAAGAACTTTTTTTTCAATTTATACATAAAAAATTATATACATATATACACATATACACATTATTTTTATACTATTATAAAATTATTGCTACTTTGAAACCGATTGTATTTTTTTTACGTTTTTTTGTCCTTGGTTTCATTTAATGTAAATGTTTTTTTTTTTCCTTTTTCAATTCCCAATTGCGTGAATACAATATAATTAAATGCACCTGACATTCCAAGGTCGTTCTTTGAGTTAGCTTCGCCTTGGACGTTACCCTTTTTGTTACAATGGATGATCACGGAATTCTAGAAGGGCAAGCCTCGAGCATTCTTTCATAAATAAGATTCTTGTTAAAATTGAACACTATTTTCAATATCTGCAATTTAATGATAGAAGATGGCATGCGCATATGCCGTGGGCATAAGGGACCAATAATTAGTTCGAGTTGATTCAAGAATTTAACGAATCGGATAACAAACTTGACGATCTAAAACTTACATGAGTGATAAAACAAAAATTCGCTTGTCGTCATTGCTCTATCAATGCTGTTGGGAAAACCATAGATATAGAATAGATACAAAGGACTACAAATTATCAAATAAAAATGGATACAACTTTTTATCAATGATTTTATCAGCACTAATGGTGTCACGAAAAAATGCGACACGCAAATTAAAAAATTAAAAAGATCCAAGTGTTGTAAATTTTGATTTTTCAACTAATCATCTCGATTGAACCGGATAATTTTTAGAACAGTAGTGTTCATAACGATAATATAATAATAGCGCTTGCTAAGCTGAGCCAACAGTTTAATATTATCCTCATCTCAGACGTATGATTATTTTCACTTTTCCGGTAAATAGCGTTACCGCATTGCACCCTTTCCGCGACATAAAATCATGATGACGAAACGACATTATTCGAAATCTCAGATTATATTTTATTCGCTTGCAACAAATATCTAAATTCGAATAAATTCTCACATTAATATAATTTTTATTGTCATGATAATTTTGGAAATGCATCATTACAATATCGAGGCCTGGAGCTTCGGATTCGTATTCGACGAATATTCGAAATAAAATACAAAAATCTTCCAAATAATTACTCAAAAAATAATCCGAATAAGATTGTTATCGTTATATTCGAATAACAATTTTATTCGGATTATTCGTCGAATAAGAATATTTTACATGTTAATTACACAGTGGCTCTCTATAGTGGAGACTAATTAAACTCGTGACATAGTGGATAATATCCAAAACTACCTTTAATAAAATCCATTCGATATAGTAAATTTACTAATAAACTCCCATATAACCACCTCCTATATAGTCACACCCTCTCTACAATCACACCTCCAAAAATTTTTCAAAGATGTTAATATTCAAAACGTTTACGTATAGAAAATATGGTGCGTAACAACTATACTCGAACTATCACGTGACCAAATATCAGGTTCTTTAAACTTTTTACAGAGATATTAATTTACATCCACAATCAGTAAAATCAGTAAATGAATTGATTTTTTGGGTAATAATGATAGTAATGGTATTGTTTTGACTATTTTTCCATAAAAAGAAATACAATTTTCGTTATAAAAAATTACTTAAAAAGGCCATTTATGATTGACCTCAAGAAATCCATAAAAGTCCATTCTGATGTAATGCAAATCTTATTTTAATATAACCATTTGCGCTTGCCGAAAAATCTAGTTTTTAAATGTTACCTATGTGAAACCAAAATTCTTATTTAAACAAAAACAATTCTAATAGTTTTCACTTTATAAACACATTCATTACCTAATTAATCGATAATGTCGACTGTATACTCTGTTGAAGTTCCAGATGCGCCTACGATTCCAGGAGAAGGCAAACCTCGTCGCAATCCATTTTTTGACGAATTGCTTAAACATCCACCTGGTGTCACTACACTTTGGGAGAATTTCTTGCATGGCTTGAAAGAGTCTGGTACATTTTTATGAATTTTCAAAGTAACAAAATATTAAATAATAATCGTTATTAACTTGCTATCTATATACTTTCGAATATTTTTAAAAGATGGTGGGAATTTCTTAGGACATCGACCAATTGAGAATGGTGTCGCACAACCATACGTCTGGCAAACTTATCCAGAGGTGGAAACGCGCGTTATCAACCTTGGGTCTGGTCTACGAAAACTAGGATTGAAACCACTTTCTCGATTAGGTTTATTCATGTTGAATTGTCCAGAATGGGTAAAATATATATTTGTTAAATTTTTTATTTCTCACACATAAATAATGGAGAATTGTTAGAATCTTATCAGTTTTTACTTTTCATTTAGACACTTTCAGAATTAGCCTCATATCTACATAATTTCACGACTGTTCCACTTTACGAAACTTTGGGCATTGAAGCTATTGATCACATCATTAACGAGACGAGCATGGAGTATGTTATTACGTCTCATGCAAAGGCACAATATCTCTTGAATGAAAAAGAATCATTGCCAACTCTGCATACCATAATAGTGGTAGATCATATTGATCAAAATCTTATCGAATACGGGAAAAGTTTAAATGTACAGGTTGTTGATTTTCTTAAAGTAGAAGATGAAGGAAGTCAAAATCGAGTTAAACCAGAAACCGTTAAACCTGATGACATAGCCACAATCTGTTATACATCAGGTACTACGGGTTTACCAAAGGGTGCCATTTTAACGCATTCAAACTTTGTAGCATTAGTCGCGAGTCTCACGTCTCTCGCAGAAAAAGGCAAATTCTTTGATGTTTCTAAAAATGATGTTCACATTTCTTATTTGCCACTTGCACACGTCTATGAACGATGTAATCAGGCAGTAATGGTTTATAGTGGCGCAGCAATCGGATTCTATCAGGGAGATACATTGAAATTGTTAGATGACATCGCAGAATTGAAGCCGACAATCTTCATATCTGTTCCTCGATTATTGAATCGTGTTTATGACAAAGTGTTGGCAGGGGTAAAAGCAAAAGGTGGTGTGGCAGAATGGACATTTAACAGTGCATATAAACAGAAAAAGGCTTTATTGTCCAGAGGAATAGTCAATCATTGGTTGTGGGATCGCATGGTATTTGCTCCGGTTCGTGCACGATTAGGTGGTAGAATTCGTGCTATTCTTTCTGGTTCGGCTCCGATCTCACCGGATGTACTGGATTTTCTAAGAATTTGTTTTTCGGCCGATGTTTATGAAGGATATGGTCAAACGGAAAATGCAGCCTGTGTAACAATAGTAAGAATAAAGTCCTGTTATATTTCATATTTAATTGGTAGAAATATATTGCTTTAATTATACGATTCCTTTTTATGCTCAATCAAACAGTCTACATATGGAGATACTGTATCAGGTCATGTAGGAGGACCACAACCTTGTGTCGAAGTGAAATTGGTAGATGTTCGAGATATGGGTTATACTAGTCAAGATAAACCTTTTCCTCGTGGTGAAATTTGTGTTCGTGGTTATTCTGTGTTCCGCGAATACTACAAGAATCCTGAGAAAACTGAAGAAACGCTTGACAAAGATGGATGGTGTCATACAGGAGATATTGGCCTTTGGGATTCCAATGGGCGATTAATAATCATAGATCGATATAAAAATATATTTAAATTGGCCCAGGGTGAATATATTGCGCCAGAAAAGGTAAATTTTGTTGTTATTTAAAGATTATTATTAATAATAGCATGAAAATGTAATTTATTAATGTATAAAATTCCCTTTTATAAGATTGAGAGCATCTACCAGAAACATGAGCTTGTCTCGCAAGTTTTTGTGCACGGTGATTCCCTACAAGCTTCACTTGTTGGCATAATTATTCCTGACAGCGAAGCATTACTAGGATGGGCAAGGAAAAATGGATTTGCAGATAAATCCTACAAAGAATTATGTGAAGAACCAAAAGTTAAAAATTATATCTTGCAAACTATAACCAAGTTTGGTAAAGAACACGACCTCAAAGGCTTCGAAAATATAAAAAATATTTATTTGAGTCCTGAACCGTTCAGCGTGGAAAATGATCTACTCACTCCGACATTTAAGATGAAAAGACACCAGGCACAAAAACATTTCGCGCGACAGATTGAAATTATGTATTTTGAAATTTCTTAAGTTGATGCTTATTGATTTTATTGTAGAAGCTGATAGTTAGCTGTTAAGAGAGGGAAAAGTTAGTAATCAATATTATCGGTAAGAGATCGATCATCTATCAATTGTCATTTATTTTTATGTATTTTTCTTTTTTCTAATTAGAGTTTTATTAGTATATAAAAAAGTATTTAATGAATGTATATTAATATTGGTGATTGCAAAATAGAAAAATTATATCATCATAAGTCGTAGAATACTTAATAAAATAGTAATATAATATTAATTATTCAATAAAAGAATAATACAAATTATATAATACTAATCTGTTTAATCAATTTTGAAAATATAATTCAAATGAGATATAGATAAGAATTTATAAAATTTAAGTATTCAAATTTGAATGCTTAATTTGATAATTTAGAAGATAATATTTTAAAAAAGTTTTTCTACTTTTTCAAGTAAAATATCAGCAATAATAAATACTTTGATTTCATGCTTTTTTAAAGAATTAAAATAACAGTTTCTTGATTAGTTATTGGATTTTATTTTTATTTTCATTATTATAATATAGATTTTTATATATTAAATAATTCATAATTTTAAATAATAATATTATTTTTTTGTTATGAGATTGATTCTAGATGCAAGTATTTATCTTAAACTATTAAAAATACATATTTTTGCTAATAATAACAATATTAAGAGTCTTTATAGTATATTAACAAGAATATATAACTCTATTAAGATTTGTTCTAAAGATAGGTAATGATAATATTCACAATATGATTAACTAAAATATAATTTAATTACAAAATATAATTTAATAAAGATATAATGAATAGTTTATTAACAAGATAAAATAATAAATCTTTATAAGACCTATTCTATAAAAGATATTAGAATTTACTTAACTAAAATCTATCAAAATTATTAAACTATCCAATTATAAAACTGAACTAATTAACTAACTAACTATTAAACTAAACTTTTTACTAGCTAAAATATATTATTTTTATATATTTTAGAAGTTTTACAAATGATATTTTTATTATGATACTTATACTACTTTTATTATGATCTAAATATTACTTTAATTGATATTATTTGTTATAAGAGTATTACTAATTTTATTATAATAGTTTTGCTAACTTTATTATAATAATTTTATCATAATTATTATACTTGTAAAATCTTTTATAAATATTCATGAATAATATTTTTCTAAGTTAATATTTAATAAGATATAAATAATTAATTATCTAATTATATTATAATATAAAATAACTAATAATAAATAATAAATTAATATTTTATTAAAGTTTATATTATAATAATATTTAAATTATATTAGTTAATTTATATAAGTTAAACTGATTAAAATATATCAATTGATATAAAAAGATTTGTATCTTAAATAAATATTAATAAATTATTTTTTCAAAATAAAATTTTTAATTCTATCTTATTTAATTAAGTTATTAAATCTTAGAATTTATTTAAATATAAAAATTTTTATTATATATCTTTTATAAAAAAAATTTTTACTAATAATAATTATTTTTAAATTATTACTTCTTAAATTTTATTATATAAAATTTGATTAAAATTAATATAAAAATTATATAATAAATAATTTAATTACTTAACTTTAAATCTTAATATT